GGATGTTTTAAATCTGCAGGACACACCCATGCATCATGGACCAAGGCAAAATAAACAGGTACCGTAAACTTGGACTGTAGTGTAAAAGGAAGGCAGTGTGAACCAGTCAGGTGGGTCCATGAAGCGAGGGTCTCATAGCCTGGGAGTTGTTTCTGCAATCCTCATCAATGTATGTACTATCTTACAACATCCCAGGCATAAATCTACAGGCAATTATATATGCTCAGCAGGACTACATTTTATATATGTCACGTACCTGAGGCGTATGCAGACTTGGTGACACCTGTAGCTGTGTCGTATTTCACACTACTGTAGAAGTTACCTGGATCATCCAACATCATCGTCCTGTAACACACACAAGAAACAGAAAGTCTGTAACTTTTGTGAAACACAAACAATCCAATATGTTATCATAACCATCAGTCAATATTTCTGTTATACAGTCTACATATCTTTCCACTTGCCTAGGGCATCTTTCAGCAGGGTTCTGGGGCCTTTCTTTGTCAAAGCAAACATTGCACCTTTTAATGCAGAGAGACAGGATCTGTTTTTAGTGTCTCTGACCCTCACATAACTCACCTGACATGGAGGTCAACATGGTTATCAATCTTACAATGGATGGACATAGAATCTACTGCTATATCATCCAGGTCATCAGATGACATACAAGCACTATATATCATTTGCTGTAAGTTACAGATCTGTGTGAGTAAAAAATGGCAAGGCTGAACGTCTCAATCACTGCAGAAATCTTGGCTGGACATTCCAGGCCCACTCAGGGATAGTGTGAATGACAACAAACGGGTCCTTCAATCTGTCTGCCTGTTACTACACCACATTATATAAGAAGGATTTTGCTGATACAGCGTACACTACAACTACTAGCAGCAAGGATTTCCATTTTGCATGTGTATGGATGAAATCATATGTGTGAGTAGGGATGTAATACTTCATGATTCTGCTAACAAGACCAAATTGTACGGTAGCACTGCACATTTCCTGCCACCAAGTGCTTCCCACCTAATTAGACTTAGGGGATATCCACAATAATCTCTGGCATAAACTACCATCCTGTTAAATAGAGCCTAACAAGTATTTTCTCAAAGGCCTTCAAGGGTAGCTCACACCGATACTGTGACCAGGATTCAGTAGAATAATCCACCTTAGTTAATGAAGTAAGCTGAGCTCTCTTCTTCTCAAGTACATGTACCTACTTGTTCAACACACTCTCTCATGACAAAAGTAAAATATCTGTCTTATGACAAAAAATGCCTAACAGACGCTTTGCTGCTGACTGTTACCACAGCATATGATTGGTAACTGAAGCGAAACCTGAAAATGAATCTGAAATTCCCAGTATTCTTTAATACATTCCTCCTGGTGAACCATTACACATGCAAATGCACTACATTTGTGCACAATGACACGTACATGTAGGGAATTTTATATACAATGTATGTAATATATAATCTGTACTCTATACAGTACTGGTACCTCAAACAATGTCTTTGTCTATCAGTTGTCAGTTGGACAATGGTGAAACAGGGAAAAACTTCCCATGAGTAGAAGCTGTGTATAACACAGGGAACATTCCCAGCCCTGCATTTCAGCATCTTTCATCAGAACAGGGCCCAGGGTCACATGGCCACCGCTGTGAGGGCGGGACGTTTAGCGGGGAGAGACTGCACATCCCCCCAGTGCACAATTAGTAGGGGTTTATGTAACACTTTGTTTACCTGGGAAATCCCATGCTTATCAACATGACATCTGTGTGTGTGACACACTACAGAAACCTGGGTCTCAGTTGGCCATCCACCAGTTGGTTTATACTACAACATACATGACTGCACACCATCAAATAACCTGGCATCCAGACTGTTACCAGGGCCTGCACAGGGCCCATGTAACAGGCCTCTGAGGAAATTTTGCCACAAACCCCCTGAGGAAGATCCTAATAGTAAGACAGGGCAGGCAAAAGTCAGGAGGATGGGGTTAGTTGGTCTGGCTGGATAGAAAATAGTGCAGAGGAAACCCCTCCTGCAGCCCTGGAAGAGACTGATGACCAGGTAAACCATTAAAATGGGTACCTGCTTTACCACCCGGCCCCTGGAGAGCAGTGTCAGCATACCCTGAATTTCAAACATCTGGAGCTGAGGAGGGTCTTGACAGTCAGTGGAATCTGAGCCCCACCTCTGCTGGCAGTTGTCCAGGCAGTACCATGTCCCAAAAAAGTCCCTGTCTTTAGAATCAAGTCCCTTTCTAACACCACTGACTTATCCTGAAGGTCATAATATAAAGACTTAAAAATCTAACTGTAAACACTGTTGAGCAGTGCCTGAACCACGTGTGAAATTGCTGATTCTCTAATCTTCCTACTTCCCAACACATTAGAAACACCTTATTGGGGATGGTTAAAATAATGCCTTTGAGCCAGTCCAGGCCACCTGACCTGCAATAGCCAGGCAGACACACAGACTCTGCACAGATACTGACCTGAGGGAGGCTCTGGTGTTTTTCATGGTCACCTCCGAGAGCTGCACCAACTTTCCCATAAAGCAACAATGTTTGAAGTCCCAACCATTAAACCGTTTCCTGTCCATTATCTTAACTAGATACATTCTAAGGTCAGGAAAATCACAACCTGAGATGATACAAAACAATCAGAAACAGGCTTACCGTGATAAGCAAATTAGAAGAGGGAAGTCTAAATTGAATACTGAAATAACAACATCACTAATGAGTGCCAGACAAACAGGTGTAAAACTGCCATCAAGCTGTCCTGAAAGGACATTTAAAAAGCCATTTTCAATGGGTTATAAAGATGCATGCCTAGATAAGAAATTGTACTAAACTTTACAACATTTCTGGCACCTGCTACAAACACAGAGTAAGCAGAGCCCTTGCACAGTAAAACATAGACACAGAAGGACTTCTGCTTCTTGTCCTGAGCTATACAATTTATAAGTCTATTGAGAGTGTGTTTAAGTGTGTCCCACCTCGCCATCCTCTGGGTGGAGACAGGTTTCCTGGTGCCGGCAGGCTGGGGAGGGGGTTTGGGGACCATCTTGGCGGCGCTGTCCCCGTCGTGGTGCTGCTTGGCGCGCTGCTGTGCTGCCGTGTGAGCCGCCGCGATCATCGCCTGGTGCTTGGCTTTACTCTCCTGTAACAGCTCCTGGGGGGGGGGATGGCAGAATGAACATTAAGTCAGGAGGGAAGAACAAATTTAATACTGTTAATTCAATAAAGTTCAAGGCACAGCAAAAATTGTTAACAGTAGCTATGAGTTGAACGAATACAGGGGTAGGCATCCTTCCATCTCAAAAGATGATGGTAGCACTCTGGATCTGGTAGTGTGGCTGTGGACACTGTATAGGGGAGGGAGTCTTTACAATACAGGGGAGAGATCGATATCTAAACTTGAACAAATGTTTGCTGTGTGTTGACTACGTGGTACAGAGGTAGAGGTGACTGTGAGAGCCACGAACATAGAAATACCGCAAATATTTCACAATTTTTAGTAGATGGACCAAGCACAGGGAGCAATGTATTGTTGTATTGAGGGACTCTGTGGAGGAATTATAATGCCCACTGATGGAGGGGTGGAAACAGGAACAAGTTTCACATGGAGGTGCATAAGAAAAAATGCGTAAGAATGTTGACAGGAAAAGCAGAAAGGCAGAGAAAATGCATAAACATTTCACCCACCCCTCCCACAATCCTTCATGGTCCATCCCCCAAGCATGCTGCCAAACCCACCTGTGACTGTTGCTTCAGCTGCTGATGCTGCCTGTCCCTGTCATCTGTGACTCCCCCTGTCTGATGACTCCCATACTGCAGCTGGTAGGAGCTGGTGGGAATGCCTGTCCCATATCCCTGGTCCCAGCCCGCTGGACCCTGGCCAACGTCCTCCACAAAACTGTTGAAGGTTGCGTCGCCTCCTCTCAGTTCGGAGGCAGTTCTGGTCTTCCCGCTCTCGGCTTCCTGCACGTTTGCGTATATCCCCTCAGCGATCCCTGTGCTGGTCGGCACTGACCCTGCCCACGATGCGGTGCGAGCTCGTGGCTTCTTCGCGGCGGCGGCGCTCTTCATGGCGGCGATGTGTTTGGAGGCAGCGAGGTTGATGTTGGCGAGCTGCTGGGCCAGGATGTGGTGGGCGCTGGGGGCGGAGTACTGCCGGGCTGCCTGGCGCTCCGCGAGACGCTGCAGGGCCTCGTTTATAGCCTGTTCACTCTGTTCTCTGTAGTTCTGTGGAGCTGCAATGGAAACAACAAAAAATATAAGCTAAAATCACACATCTTGTGCTGTTACAAAACTACACATACATAGGCAACCAGGTGTTAACAAGTTACAAGTATATAAAAGCAGGACCAGGTAGAAATGAAACATGCTAGGCCAAAAATCAGTTGTTTAATTTTTTGGGGGACAACTTCCACTTTCACTATCAGTAACTTTTCATTACAAAACAAGCTTACAGTACTGAGCTGACCACACTGGTTATAAATATCTCTGCTGACAGCTTCTCTTGGCAGACAACCAGGACCAAGTCCAATATGGTTCTCCTGTGTGTCCTGCTTACATTTCTACACTGACTCCATCTAAATACTTCACAAAAATAGCTCCCACTTGGCTGACCTACATGTAGTCCAGCTGCCACATCCTGTCATACAGTCTCCATATAATATTTCCCTCATACAAAATCATCTCAGATATAACAAGAATCTAAAGGGTGAAACGTATTTGCCAACAGATACTACATATTGTTGAGAGGACTTATCCACAACTGATGACTGGACTATGGTATTGGCAATGATACTCTCTTCTCAAAATTGGAGACTTTGAATCATACCATGTGTCATACCTTTTCCAATCTTAGCAACTGGATGCTCAAGAAAAAAAAATGGAAGGGGCCCAAAAGGATGTCTGGGTTTTATATGCTTTCAATTGTCCACACAAATATCCTGCCTCAAATATTTCTATACCATGACAGCTGCCACCGGGCTAAACTGGCTGGCTGATGATCCGTAGTGTAATGTACTGTCACATTTTCAATAAACACCAGTACAAAATACAAGTACATGTACCTGTCTGTCCGTCAGGTTTGTCCCTGTAGGTGACAGCAGACATGGGTCGTGTGCGGGTGGCACTCCCGGGTCTGCCTGCACTGCCCGGCCTGCTGCCTGACCCCCCACGGCCTGCGCTGGGCGGCCGGCCTGTCAGAGAGACAACAACAGTGTCATTCATACACATTACAGGACACACAAGACTATACATGTAGACTCCACCATAATCCACCCTGCTCCACCATGCAAACCTTGAACAAAGACACAAAATAAATATAGAAAAACTACATGTAAAACAAAATAAGGACCATAACTGCTGGAGAGGGTTTCACTGTAACAAAGCAATTCTATTAGAATACGTGTGAAGTAAATAAAGAAAAAACATATGATGACTACATTATCACCAACAAAGAAACGGCCTGTGAAAATAAGACATAGTTTTGTATTTAATGCCCACCATTACTGTATGAATACCCTTGACACGGACTGCCACCACTTTATGCTTACTTGAGAGTCCCCCTTTCTTAGTCAGTGTAATTACAGTTGCCTTGTTACTCTTAAATCTACACATACATGTAAGGACAACACCCATATCTTAAGCAAAATGCTAACAACATTAACCTCTCACCAACTGGTTAAGACATGACACAACTGTGTCTCCCAAAAGACAACAGAACTTGGTTAGAACTTAGAACAAAAGTTATATTGTTCTTCTGCTGCAGTCTTACCCTTCCTTCTCCCATATGGTGGTTTGCTAGATTTGAAAAGCAGAGTGTGGCGCTGTGCTGCCTTTTCAGCCTCAGTCAACACTGCAGGATAACAGTTGTAGGAATCATTTAGCTGGTGTCAGAGTAGGTAACCACTCTACATGTACATAACTGGAGAAACTTCCATTTACGGACAAGTACATACTTATATACCTTTTCCCTGCACACCAGAGCAAAGGTTTTATCTACGATCGAGAGCAAGCTGCTTGTAGCATACCCGATGGCCCAAACCAGGAACAGTGTGCAGCACCTGTATGGTCTGAATGAAGACCTACAATGTACATCTAAGTCTTTCCCATTGACAGACTTCAAGGAGGCTCAAGGCAAAGTGTAGCAATTACATGTATACTGTTGGTATCATTGTTTTTTTAATTGTTAGGATTAACTACCACCATCATGACGCATATTTCACACTTTGTCTCAAACCTCCTTATAGGCAAACAACAACAAGTCCTCCACCACCCATGCCAGCCCCACCTCCTCTTTGTACTTATACTGTGAGCTGCTCTTTTGAGAAGCTCCCTCTAGCATTGAACGGGTAAAGTGTACCTTCTGACAGAAATCTACAGTGATGGGTATTGCCATTTGTGGAAGCTGAAATGCGAGGAAACTTTAGAGTTGTACTGTGTGCCTTTGTGGTGCAAGCAGAAGCTGAAGCAGTCTTGCGATGTTTCTTGTGTTTCTGCTTCTTGCCTGTGTGCATGGTTTTTGTGGTAGTACAGTCTATAGGTCTATTGTGTTGCTTGCTACAAATACATAACATACACATACACATTGTACATATGGTATGATACAACAATCATCATGGTGAATGTACTTTCCTGCATGTAAGCCACAATACATTCAATGTGGAATACACAAAATAATTGCTTTAAAAGTTTCAACATTTATATGAAGAACAAAATACATGCATATTTACTACATTCTTAGTGTATTGAAACCACATGCTTTTTCAAGTCAGGTTAGCAAAAACAGGCTAACCTATATCTTAACACTCTTTGAAATGCTTTGAAATGCTGGTCAGAGGAGCAGCCTGCAGCTAGAGTGGGATGGATACCAGGCTACATGTACATACTGTGTGAGTAGACCTACCAGCTTTACTGGCTGAGGACGGCCTGTTCTTCACGGTGCCGGTCAGCTTGGTGCTGTAGATGTAGGCAGCAGCCTGGAGAGATGATAGTGAGCTGGTGGGGATGTCCACACCTGACATCGGACCGGTGTATCTGCCTGCAGAGGCTGACCTGAAGACAGGAAGTCAAATAGACCAAGGAATCCAAAAAAGGTCCACTTGATACTTAACATAACACAATCTTTCAAATGAAAAAATAAGTGTGAAGTTCTTATACAAGTACAAGTATATAGCTAGAAGATCTGATAAATTACCAGGAAAACAATTAACTTTAACTTGGTCTTGAAATACTTTGTATTTTGAACTTGAACTCAAAATCGATTTGTGAAGGACCATCCTGTTTTTCGCAGTGAACTCATAGTCTTTTGAGACTGACTGACAGAGAGAGGGAAAATTTGTGTACCATTTCTTATGATGATGAAACTAACCTCTGGTGTTGTCCAGTCATACCAGAGGGCCCCATGCTCTTCCTTGCATAGCCTGTAGTTGTAGTTACGTTTGGCTGCACACCCTCGGTGCCTGTGGTTGTCCCAGGCTGAACCTGCGGCCTGAAGTAGTTCCCAGGATAGGCGTCCCTGTTGGGAGGTGCCTGCTGGGTGGGCTGTGCTGTGGGGCCGTGGCTGGCACTGCTGGACCCCGACGTCAGGCTGCTCTGGCTGCTGGCCGAGTGGGGGCCGGTGGACGGGTGGGCTGCTCCATGGGGGATGTGGATGGTTACTGGGTACTCTGTAGTCGGCACCCCTGAAAATTGCAGAAACCTTTACTACATGTACATGTTTTACAGAAGACATTGTGAGTTGCTCATTAGAAGTACCGATAAGAAACATTGAAGTACAAGCAGTTTAAAGAATTACAAACAGTTCATTTTTTCACGAAGCACTGCATTTTGACTGCAACAGTGGCAACACTGACATTACCGGTATACCAGTTATGGTAGACTTTTAAAACTTTTTTTCGCTTGATGAAGCTTATTTTCATGCAGAACCACATCTATCCACAACTGCTACGCAAACTACGCAGACTGTAACGATACCTTGTGCCAGCTGGTTGCTGTCCTCTTTCCTCCTGCCCAGAGCAGTCTCCCCTGCCCCCGGTGAGGGAGGCGGGGGGTAGAACTTGTACCCGGGGTTCACTGTCTTGGCATTGCTGCCCAGGAATATACTGGCCGACTTGTTCAGCTTGGTGTAAGTCGTCAAGACCTCTTCTAACTCCCCCTCACTGGAAAAGTGGGGCAGTTAGAACCATTACAGATTTAAAAACAAACAACACATATGACAGAATGAAGTAAATAATTCAATCCATAAAGTTTTCTTTACAAGTGATTTCCGACCTTGCTATCCCTATGAATGCCCTGAAGTCCTCCTTTGTGACTGTCGACTCTGGTCCGTCCTTTGCCTGAGACGTTTGGCCGTATTTCTTGTCCAACTCTGTCCTCTGGGAAAGCAAGTCTGTCTCCTGTAGGGTGTAAAATAAAGATTATTAATTTTGAACCAACATTGGCTGTCCTATTTCCTCTAAGATTTCTGTCTTGAAAACACAAATTTGCTACAACTTCCATCATTTCCCATTACAAATTTTTCAGAACCTCTTCTTTTTTTGCAGTTCAGTCTCAGCAGCCCTGGATCTGTACATCCTGGATTTGAACATATTCTACATTTGCATAAATACAATCTTTTAACCCCAAGTCTTGTGAGTGACACATGCGAAAGTCCACCCACCCTGCTGTAGATATGTACGAAGTCTCCCAGCTGTTTGGCCAGGATCCTCCTCCTGTCATGCAGTGGAAGTTTCCTGCTGGGCACCACCACCTTGAAGGGCTGCTGCAGGTTCCCTGCCGCTCTCTTCAGGAACCTCAGCACCAGGTCCTGCAGGGGCGGAGCACAGCATGGATATATTCATCATTCTTTTCATTCTGTATCTGTTTCTGTACAGCCAGCATAACACACATAAAGCTTATTGCTATTCAAAATACATCCTGGATCTATCTACTGCATTCTCCTGTCTTATTCTTTACGTCCTGTATCTGTATCTGTATGGCTGGCATAAATGGTCTTTGTTGTTACTTTCCAATATGAAAGTAGTCATCAGAAAAACAAATTACCAAAAGGACACATGCAACTATAAAACAGACAAATAAAGGATGATGAGATTGAGGATAAGGTTTCACAAGAATATCCATGTTCTTGTTACCATCTGTTCATCATGGCGAGGCTCTCCCTTGTCGTCCTTGTTGTGGGACTCCTGTAGCAGTCTCTGCTGGACACGCTGCAGGTACATGGCAAACGCTGACCTCGCCTGGACTTTACTACAGGACAGAACCAGAAAGTCAGATAACTGTAATTTCACTACTTCCTTTTCAAATTTGAAGACAAGGCAGTCAAAATGTGAGATTGACCACAAAAGAAGTACGTGTACATACCTCAGGTTGCCACCATCCTCCAGTATTTTCACCAGGTTGATGACCTTGGGCTGCTGTGAGGTGGCAGGAACATCGTGGAAGTGTCTTGGTACTTCAGGAGGGTAGACTGACGCTGTCCTACTGATGGGTCCCTGCCGCTCCTCCTTTGTTCCCCCCGCTGAGCCAACATATGCGTCTCTCTCTGAGGACGGCTTCCCAGTCCCTGCTGCGTTCCCCACGCCTCTTCCCTGTTCCCCATGCCCGCTATGTGCACTGTCCGCATTACTCTCGTTACCCGTATCGGACGCTTCCGTAGCGGAATGTCCGTCTGCCGATGTACGCGCCCGACCTGATCCACTTGATGGACCGGACTTTGACACAGTTACCGTCGCACCGGACTTGGTAGTGGCCTGATGCGAGGAAGCTTCCGAACACTCCGTGGCACTTGTTCCTAAAGTCTTTGTAGAGGCAGAAGCTGCAATAGGCGGCTTCCCTGACAGCTTGTTAGCTGCTGCCGAAGCTTGTACATTTCCTTCACTAGTTGATGAAGCACTGGCCTGAACGGCTCTAGACTTACTAGCACTTGCTGCTGCAGTAGAGACTTTCTTAGTTCTGTCTCCTGCTTTGTGATCCGTGGCGGATGTTGCACTGTCGACATCAGAATCGTCAGCTGTGAGTTCCTCGTCACTTTCTTCTTCTGATTCTTCCTCTTCTTCTGAGCTCTCGGTGTCGTACTGCCCCTGAGCTAGCCGGCCTTTGATAGACCCTGTCAACGGAAAACAGCACTCTGTGAATAGGAATTTAACTGGGACAACATGGGATTCATTGCTAAACAAGTGTACAACAAATCTGCAGCTCCAAGCTTCCATGGTGTCCCTTTTATGTATAATGATCATACATGTATTACCACAGACATGCAATGCAGTTAAGTATAATGGTAGTGTGGGTAAGTAAAAGCATATTAACATTATTGTACATGTATATGTGGTTGTCTAGTTTGCGTAGCATCAGTTAAGTACTTTTTCTGGATAGTAAAGGAACTGCAGCTTCATATGAATTTACTGCATGTACATTTTATTTCAAAACATTTTCATCTCTGTCATTCTTTCATGCCTCAAATGGTGTTACTTGCTGAGCTGAGGACATTAAAATATCAGAGATATGATTGAGTATAAATTTCTAAGCAGACAGCAAGTTTACATATACAGACTTCCCGGTGGAGTACCTGACTGCCTGAGCTTGTTTCCACCATGTCTAATCCTTAGTATCTTTACAGCCAAACAGCCTCAACTGACAGAAACCATAGTGAACTGGCGTTCTGTGTCAGTTGAGCCTGTCTGAATATCTTGCACTGTAAAAGCATAAGGAAGAAAGGGAGGAAAAGGCAGACAGAACACGAGTGGCACATAACTTACATCTGTCTTGCTTCTAAAAATATTTTCCTCCTCATCAAAACAGTTTGACCATGAAGGTACAAGTTTGCCGTCAGTGTGACTGATATTCCGTGTGCAGAGGTTGAAAGCTTGATGTGATATCTCAAGAGACAAAGATGTTCCACATTGTGCAAAAGGATGAGAAAGTGAACGAAGCCCTGAAGTTGTTGCATACCTAATAAGCTGAATCTACTACAAAATCTCTACTCTACAACCAACAAGCAGCATGCCAGACAATTTGGTTGTAATGTCTCCAAGGTAACAAATCCAGCAACCCTCCAAAACTCACCCTTCACTTCAGTCGTAGGGCAGCTTTGAAGTCACTCAGTTGCATAGTTGAATGTATTCAAGGTGTGAAATTTTGTGGTGATACATAGAATTCTTTTGGAGCATAAATAACACACACTGCTAGTTGAACATAGTTGCATAGAGACAGCGGCTTTGCATATATATGTTCATTTTCTCCTCCTAGCTTTGAGGTGGCTTGGTGCTTTTTGAATGATTATGTGCACTGAAGTAGCAGCAGTAGTTGGATGCAGCTTTGAGAGAATCTACGTCTATGGAAGATCTGACGTTTTGCATAGTTTGGCACCTTTCTAAGGCAAACTTGTTAACTGTACTTTTTCATGCTGGAAGACAGTTCTGCCCATGCCATTGCAGGTATTCAAACCTTAAAATGATCAAAATGTTCATAACAGAGTTTTTTTTAAGATAAATTTGCAATCCATTTTAACAACGGTAAGCCCAACAAACAAATTGGGTGGAGTCTTTTTCACAAAATTATCTTTTTTTCAACAGAGTAGCGAAACAGCAAAGACCTATATACGACATAGTTCTGTGACTCTGTTCATAAAACATTACATCTTCAGATTATGTTGGCGCTGCATCCGCTCAACTCTGAAATGCATAGACAGGATAGAGAACAGCAGGTAGAATATGTAGAGAGTGCAGATAACGTAGAAAATGTAGAAGGGAATTCTTTCTGCTCACCAATATTTCAAGTAAGGATGTCCAGCAAAATGTAGAAGATGAGGTACAACATTCAGAGTTCACACACAACACACCACAGGTAGGAAAAATCTCTAACTTCTATTCTAAACTCATTATTTCTAGGAGAAATATCATTGCACCTGACAGTACTACAAGGCAAGCATCTGATAGTGTCTATAGAATTAATGAGTTTGGTTTACATGTACATGTGGTCATTCAAATTTACTAAAAATTCTTTCACAGGTCAGGGCTGGAAATAAGTTTTATGCATACCTACAGCAGTGCAGGTAACATTTTAAGTTACCTGCACCAGACAAACTTTTCATGCACCACTCAATCAGTCTATGAAAGAAAACATTTTGAAAAAGCTCATAGTACATGTACACGAAGGACGGACCATTTTGAATACTGTTACATGCTGTATTCAAGGGTGCTACAATCAAGAATGCAAGGTGCCAGTACTGGCAATATGTCAACCTTTTGTATCCTGATCAAGGGGCATTCAAACATTAAATTGTGCCAAAAATCCCATTCATATAGCAAGGCCAACAGCATGCTGAATAAGGTACAAAAGATGAAGAAAAAACAGACCAAGTAATTTATAAAAAAAATAACTTTGGGAGGGACAAATTTACTGTAAGCCTGGTGTTCAGTAAGCTTGACAAAGTTAACTTGAACAAAATGAGATGACCATGGTTGACGACAGTGGTGATAGATCAAGAATAAAATAGAACACAAGTAACTCAAGTCTGAAGAGTTGTGCACATCCGTTCAAAGGTGACTTGATCTGCACTAACAGACAATGCATAGTATTTGTTGTGTACTACTCCTCACTATACCTACCATTGGGAGTGTTTCTGTTCCTCTTGGTCTCTTTGATCTTGCGCTGTCTCTTTCTTGCATCTGCTGTGTACTTTTTCCTCTCGTATTGCTTGGCCCTGCTGCGCAGGGTCATCTCAGGCTCAATACTAGCCTGTACAACAGTGGATACAAATGTTGTTATACATGTACTTTGAATGGAAGCTCATCGGTGTTGGTAGAATCTATGACTATGGTTGTAAAATTTGAGCTTTGTGTTGGAACAAAGCTCAAATTTTACAACAGTTACTATTATATAATATATATATAATAGTATATACATGTACTTGTATTTCACATGACAAAAACAGAAAACAACTTCAACATCTATGCAATAACAAACATGGTTTGATAGGAAATTTTTGAGTGGCCTGTGGAAACAATACATGTACTATCATCCATACTACATTGTTTGTATGAAGCATGTTTAACTACACAATATTCTTGGAAAACTGTCACTAAGACCAAAATAAGAGAAACTACATGTAAACATACCTGAGCCATTGTCCCTGACCTGAAAGATAGTAATAGGGTTAAAGGCACACTCAATAATAGGCACAATCAATATATCACAGAATAGCACACACAAAAACTCAAAAAATGAATCACAACACATCATATAGGCAGGAAAAATTTCTTCTGTACTAAACTCGTTATCTTGAGGGGAAAAGCAAACACAGTAATCAAATCCATTGATTAAGTGGTTACATGTTCTGCAAAGGAAACTGAACTCAGCAGTCTCAAATTGTCTTTCCATAAGGTTTTTTTTTTTTCATCACAGAAACACTCTACAACATATGCGCCAGAGTTGGGTATACTGTTAACTTCACCTGAGGGTCTAAAAGACAGGACAGATTTTTAACACTGGACATAGTTTATAAAAGACTGGGAAGTACATTGTGTATAAGGGCAGAAAGGCCGACTACACAACAACTGGACAAGCACAATTTGTAAATTTTAGGTTGAATGGGAAGGGTACAAATTATAATAAGGACAAAAGTTTGCATGCTTTAGTAGTTGAGAGAATCCTTCCTCAAAGTCAACAGAATAGTCTAATTGAGCACAAAGTACGAGTAAAGGCATAACATGTCATCAACATACACCAAGGACTACCCAACCACCTCTATAGGAACACAGCTATCAGTACACCCAACTCTGGTGCATCGTGTGTCTATACTAACTTTGCCGTGGCAGAAGAATAGCTTGCACTTGTGGATCTACCACCCCTGTAGCCCCTGGCCCTGTTGGTACACAATACATTCAGCTCACAGAAACACCTGAAATGCTAGTGTGCTTCTTGGGTGAAATAGTGCATAGTTTTATCTTTGCTTTCTACTGACAATGTCCAATTGCAGTTTTACTTGGAATGGTTGTACTATCAGCACCATGGACAGCGAAGCAGTCTTACTTGTTACTTTAGGACATTGAAAATTCTTCAAACATGTCTACATTTTGACACAATTGACACAGTTACTTAACAGGTTATGAGCCATTATGATATGCATCTGTTATCAAAAAAGTAGCACTCACAGTGTTCCTAATAGGAAAGCTATGGAACCTTGATGGATTTACCATTGACAAAAGCTTACCTATTTGGGAAAAGCTTGTCAACCAGCATTTTGTTCATGGTAGTCTTGTACTCAAGGAATGCCCTAAGATTAAAAAACAAAAGAACCAATGTTGTAATTGTGCATGACATTCGATTGAAAGGCACAAGTTCATACCAATTCTTGTCAATGCTGAAAGATATCCAATTGTTTAAATTTTACACCATCTGTATGAAATATAGCTGTCCTTCATCAAGTTTTTCTAGTCATCACATTAAGAAGAATACTACATGTATTATCTGACAGTTGTATATACAATGTAGCTTGTTGTCCCTACCCATAGTGTTCCCAGGAGTCTGGTGCAGGGAACAGCCTGATGAATCCACCTTTCCTGCCAAACTCTTCTTTCACCCTCACCAACACCTTCTGTTCCTCCCTGCTCAAACTTGACCCTTCAACTTTGGCCCACGACCCTGGCCCAGACTGAGGCCGGTCCCTCAGCTGCCTGACGTTCACACTGCCCGCAGACTGAGGTCTTTGCCTCTGTGGGATAACAACAGACACGTTCTAGGTACCAAGTCTCCAAGAGATGAAAAGATGCAAACAGGAATGCTGTTGCTAAGTTTACATCAAAGCAATTTATAATGTTTCCTGGCACACACACTGCAGTAAGAAATCACAAAATTACAATCTAATACTAGTACCTGGTAACAGAATCACCATACAGTAGAGTAGACAGTAAAAGCTGACCAAACTGTCATTATATGCACTAGGATAAAAGTAGAACTTTCACAACAAACAGAATATATGGTTGAATGTGTATTAGAGGCAAAATAAAACATTTGGTGAATAGAATACTCCAGAACAAACATACTCCAGAAAAAAACAGCCAGATATATTTTAAGTACTGAAAAGGGGACATACCGGTACAACTCAAGTGTTAGTCTTGTTTAAAAACAAAAGTATAAGACAAAATGCTTTGGTAAGTTAGCTAGCTCAAGACCACAACAAAGCTTGGTGATGGGTAATCACTGGGTAGTTGAGTTAACTGCGGGTCAACAAAATGGTGCTGTGCAGACCACCTTGTGGGGAGAGACTGGGAAACAAAAAGAAGGTGAGTTAATTAACGTCAGGGTTTACTTGGCAGGGTTGAACATCATTCTGCACACCGGTCCCAACTTACCCCCACAGAAAAATCCGGCCTCTCACGAGCCGACTGAAATCACACAAATGTCACAGAGAAAACTGGTCATTAAAGAAACAATGTCCAGGAGGCTGTAATGTCAGAACATCATGTACATGACATGTAGACAACATGGCAAAAGGGTTAGTAACAAATTTACAGGACAGTATCAACGTAATCGTGAATCAATAGGCGTCCATTGTATATCACATGTAGTTCATATGCAAAAATGCTACACCTCTGAAAGTAGTACTTGTATTACATACATTGTTCTCCTTCTGTCTTGGTAAACAATGGGTTTGTCATGGTAAGTCCCAGTATCGTACCAAGTACAGTGCATGATAAAACTCTGATGAAATATCCACACACCTGTGCTCTCTGAGCTGTTTTGGCTGCAATGTCCTGGTTTCGTTTGCTCTGCTGAATCTTCCTCACCATGGGGTCATGGCACATAAAGCCTGAGAACAGGAACATCAGGCACACCAGTGTCAGTAGTGCCAATACTGCCACAGACTGTGGTGTACAGTCATATAATCTAAACAGTTATCATTGCGCAAAATTGAGCAAAAGAGATACCCATCTGATGTATGCTTACATCGTCACTACATTCACTTTAAATTTGTAAACGCATGGTTCTTAGTAAGTACAGGTCATTGGAATTCCTAACAGACCCTCACACTGTCATGACCTGGTTGCAGAAACCTTTACAAGAGTGTGAGGTCGTGTTTTTCATAGATTGGTTTGTCACCCACCTGTCAGCGCAAACAGATCAGCGATCATGTGAGACTTGACCTTCAGATCCAACGGGGCATCACTGCAACAGAAACGTGCGTGTCATCAGTGCTAACATATTGTCATTAGAACGACGAGAAACCAAAATCTTTTTCGGCTCTTTAAAATACTAAGTCTTGTACATGTTTGTCATAAAACTGTTGTCTACATACTGTCACTGTCTAAAGCAGATTCTTTTGTTTGCTTTTATCATAATTTTGTCAGACATGCTGACATCTACATATTTCTAGTATTTCTACATGTGTGTCTACAGCTGAACATTTGTTTTTTTGACAAGGTTTTTCTAATGAAAGTTGTATTGAGTTCCCTATCACATGGACCTGTCCTTGGTGCTGAACCAGCCATCATCATATGTTTTATGTTTTAAGTGTGCATAAGAGCTGTCTACTCACCATGCCAGTGATGGGGATAGGTTGACCTCCAGCAGCCATGGCTTCAGGTTCTCATCAACCAGGATGTCAAACCCGTACACCTCTGCGGTGGGGCAGGGCAGACGGGACATCAAAGTCAGTCAAAAGGACTTAATTAGCATTATGCAGACAAGCGAAGTCTCAATTATAGGTAACTTTAAGACATTCATAATTTCAAACAGAGATGGCTTTAAAATCTCAGAAAACAGCTAAATAAGACAGGCACATCATTTATGTGACTGATGTGCAGCCTCAAAATCTTAAACAGTTCATAACACTAGGCTTTATTTACATACTTGGCCATCAAACCATGACAACTTAAGTGCGAGCAATTCTAACCCTGAATGAGTGAAAGGGAATGTGTGGTAAAAGGTTTCTGTACCAAAACAGTTTCCTCTGTATGGCATGAACATCTTGCAGGCTGTGGCGATGTGCATCTCTGCACTGAGGATGGTCTTCACCACAACATCCTCTATTCTCACCATCAGGGCTGAGGGAGGAAGCATATGAATTTGTATAAGGCCACACCAATTTAATTTGTTGGTTCTCGGATTCTGCCTCTTCATTTTTTTCTGATTTGCAAAAAAAAAATTGATTCTGGTCCTGAATCAACTGAAAAATACTCATGTTTTGCCCCCAACAGTTGAGGAAAGTCCTTTTCTTCCTAGTTGTTACAGTTTTCCCATCTATCATTGCAGTGGTTTGATTAAAAGTTCAAAATTCAATGTTTAAATTTTAACCCAGCCTTTTGTGTTGACTTCATGGCTCATTCCGTAGCATTTAAGCCTATAATAGGATGCCTAGACCTGTTTTTATTTTTATTTTTTTTCGCCCTGTCGCTCCATATTTTTTCTGGAAAAATCCGAGAACCAACAAATTAAATTGGTGTGGCCTAAGCTCACATTGAAATACAGTAGGAAAGAAGCATAAACTCTCATAAAATGTTACTGTTACTTGAAAAACTGTTGTGTCAAAACATTTTGATAAAATTGATTTTGATATGTCTAGAAATTATGACATAAAATTCTTTGAGCAGCAAATCAATAAAATCTAATTATCTGATTCATCTTTCCAAACAAGCATGGTTTTAATATCTAATAATAATGTTGTTAAGTCCTTCGTTAATTTGCAATAATGTAGTATGTAACAAACCTGTGGTGTCCAGCCCCTCCTGTTTGAGATATCTCAACATTGCACTCATCGTCCACTTGTTACCGTAGTCCTCCACATCTGGGTCATCACATCTACAATGTGTTTGAGTAAAGTTCTCAGTAAGTCATCACAAATAAGCTCCAAATGCTACAATTCTCTAAACAATTAGAAAAAAATTTATCTGCCTTGAAACTGACCTTCCTTAGAATCTGAAGGTTCCTTTTCTTCTGTATTAATAATTATCACACATTCTGTAAACATTGTTTCCTACAAATACATGATTTTACTTCTTGACTCCAACAAATGCTTAATAGAACTGATGGTATGCCAATAGTTTCTGAGCTGAACATACCTGACATAGTCTGAACTCTTCTTGTTGACGCTGTAGTTTGTCAGATGCATCATCTGGTTCTTCAGTGTTCTGTTGGACTTCTCGTACTTTACTGTAGCAAATCTGTGGAACATGGGAATACTCAATGTGACTACATGCTGTGTATAATTATGTTGTTGTGCTCAAGTATGATGAGAACAAAACTGGATAACTAAATGAAGCAAAGGATCATTACATGACCGTTTAAAAAAAAGTAATCCCATTGGCCTGACATATCTGCCTGTCTTGCGTGACAGACAGATAGAGGACACCGGTACTTAGGTGGTCCAGTAAGCACTTCCAATCCAATATTAAAATTGGCAGGAAATGGCTTTCTTGATTAGGTAGAATCGATTTTCCTGTTTACTGAATTATCTACTGTCACCCCGCAAGGTGACCCACATACTATCTCGGAGTGAAATTACTTCTGAGTTGTAATTCATCAAGCATGCATGGTCAGTGGCCTGGATAATGGGCCATCTTCCATGTCACACGAGGAACGTCTGATGAGCTTTGGGCCACACCAATTTATTTCTTCTGTTCTTGTACATGTCACGTAAGGTAAAATAAAAACACAGTGCTGGGAGGAAAATATGAATCTGACTACTGCATAATATTCACATTCTAAAGATGGAAATGTATTATTGTGTAGAGTACAGACTTTTCCCCTACAAGTACACTTTACACTTTATATTACACTTATATTATTTTGTTTTCAAAACCAAGAACCAACAAAATCGTTTCATTTGGCATTATGCTGCATTTGTACATTGTACCATCAAAAAGCTCCCACCTTGTAAGCCCTTCTTCATACAGATAGATGAGTAGTGGGTCGTAGCAAGTCACCGCCACATATATTCTGATATCAAACTTGAAACCTGGGGGAAAATAGAAAATTACTTTACCCTGACTTCAATCTGTTCAACAGAAATCAAAGAGGAGAAAATATGGACACAGATTGATGCAGTCATCAAAGTTCAATCAGTTGGGGCAAAACCCCTTCCCTCTGCATCTTAGTTTGTTTGCAAGGCAGTTGACGATAGCTTGTTACAGTTACATACATAAAACATGCCTATTTCAGTATTTGACATTCTGATGAGATTGACCTGTTATCAAGCACTTTCAAACCAAACAGTGCATTTTATTGTTATAATGTGCACTTCTAAATGTCACAGTCCAAATTCCCCAGCAGCTTCACCTTTACACATACAGGTACATCTCAAGGATGAATACTAGTATTAAAAGGGGCAAGTGTTGGGTATTCCTCCTGGCCAAAAATATTTATTCAATAAAAGAGAATCCAACGATGGGGAGACATGTTATTGACTTCAGCAGGTCTGGATCAATGATAAGTCCAATTAACATACAAATGGGAGAGACTGCCTCAAAGAGAAATCCTGGGGATAAAATGCTTTGACCCAAATCAGGGCTGGTTGGATGCTGTAATCAGTAGTTACAAATCATCCCCGAGGAATCATGTCAAACTTTTCTAGTCTGGGATGAACAGAAAGATTAGGGTATCCTGTAACATTTTGGACAGCTTGCTCATGAAAAATGTTTTTAATGTGGGAAACGATGAAATTAAGACAGAGCCAGCAAGAAGTTTTACATGTATATCCAATTGATTTGCATTTGACTTTTTCTTGCAATTAGCCCTAGGGCATGAACTTGCAATAAAGAAGTCTAACTCTTAATTTACTGTTCCTCTTCATTCTCAGGTCCTCATTAAAAATACACTTTCTTTGCTATATAACCTTGTACGTAGGATTGCATCCTTGCTGCTACATGTATGCCACAATGTGGCAAGGTGTAATAGAGTCCAGTCACGTTCAGACACCCATCCTTGTCGTCATAATTACATCACAACGTGACAAGGGCAAACAGTTCACATCGCACCAAAGAAGGCAGCAGAGATGCTGCAGAACGTTGGCAAAGATCATTACACGGCTGCATAGCAAAGGAACAAGGATGGATACACGCGTCACTGAAATCCCAACCTACCATCAATAGTGAGAGGGTTGTGGATATATCTGGACACCAGGATATTCTCGTCCACTGGAACCTGCTGGGGCTGCAGGGAACGGAACAGAAGAAATCAATAGAGCAGTAACGCTGGCTGAAACTCACCCTGGAAATACTGGACATATCCTCTAGCTTTTTCCAATAATAGTGTCTCTGTAGTCTTCCTAATGTAATCCTGTAATCTATGAAGAATCTTTATAATGATTTTTTCAATTACCACAAAATCCATAATGATAAAAATCGTGACATTGTGTTGTATATGGATTTTGAAATTTCTGCTGTGTTTTCAAGTTCACAATTTTTGTATGACCCCTCACTGCAGACTTACTTATCAGACTGCATATGTGCCCTATCTTCTGTTGTGTTACTAAAAAAGATAACTGCAAACTCTTGATTTTCACTGTGCCAGAAAATCTAAGCACCCCACAAACTTGAAGATATGTACAGTTACCAGAAGAATGTTTCCTCGGGCCCTCTGATCATTACAGACTCCGGACCATTCTACCACATTCTAACAGATGATTGCCCGGTCGTTAGGGTGCATACTTACATGGTTCACCAGGTAGATGCCTCGTCCCCGGGAGGAAGCAATGGGCTTGACTATCCACGGTCCTTTGTCTCTTAGAAAGGCGGCTAGAAATAATGGTATGGAAGAAGGTTACTATCAACAAGAAGAGCCTGACAAGAACTAACATTCCATGTGAAATTACTCTAACCTGGAACATCTTTACTGAAGAATATGGCTAAAATGATGCTAAGAATAGTTTGAATGTACCCATGTTAGAAAAAAACATGTATATCTGCTATGTTTGTCATTGTTCTGGGAAAGGCAAAACAATGCCTTGTAGCAAGTGAAACTAGGATAACAGACTAAATGTAGAGCTGCTAGAGCACCACTGAACTGAACTGTAGAGCACCACTTAATACTCTAACAATACTGCAAATTGCCACTCAGTAAAATGTCACTTCAGAGCTGTAGAAAACTGTCAATTTGCTTTCCAAAACCACAACATGTATATTGTAAGTGGCACTCATCCTCAGATCTTAAACAGAAAATTTGAAGTTGGGCACATACTACATGCACCAACTCTGAAGCAAATCTGCCCCATGCAAGTGCGAGCATACTGATGAGAAAGAACAGAAGAGAGCAGTGCTTACGGTGCCCTGAGCAGGGCAGCAGTGGGAGGAGGTGGGGGGAAAGGAGAGATCCAGAGTCAGTCAACAGATCTAGAGTTAGCCTGGCAGCCCAGAGTGCTGGGGAATAAGATATTCTCCCTCATCTGCATGAGAGACAGTGTTACCACTGGCCCTGTCATTTGTCCCAACTTGCCTGAAAAGTAAGGCTACAAAAGGATACTGTGTTTTATAAACTGACAGATGTGGCAGTGCATACACAAACTGCAGCAGTCAGTTATAGGAAATACATCTATAATTCTCTTAGAGCCTTTGTATTTACCATATTTGAGTTATGTCCTTAGCGCTGTAGTCAGATAGCATAGCAGTGAACATTTGGTATTTGGCATCCACATACCAAACCTAACATACATGTATCATACCATCAGACCTAACTTCACTTTTCAGTTGTACAATACTTATCATAGTTCATACTGTTATCAGACGTCTTTTGCCTGTGGTTATTGTTCAGCAACTGTTACAGCATATTCAAATTTATGCAAAAAATATATAATCAATGCAGGATATTAACATGACAATAGGGGCGTAACAAAGCCCTTTGCCTAGATTTGGTGAACCTTCAGACTGGCTCTATAACAGTTTAGAATTTCAGTAACAGTACTTTTGTATGAGAGTTATAAAACTTACTGCAGAACTCCTGATACTCAGATGGCAGGATGAAACTCCCCGGGATGAAGTCAAAATTCTTCACTCCCTGGAACAAACAAAAGAAGCTTATTCACTTATATCTTATTACACCATGAGTGCTAAATAACTTTCAATCCAAACATCTGGGCTAAACTGAAGCAGGCACTTTAGAAATTATTAATAGAATAGTCAATTGTTTTGAATAGAATATGAATAGTCACTTGTTTCTCTTTATATATCGTATCTGTATAGCCGGTATAACCGCCTTTCGGCGTAACACACCAGCTTTAATATGTATGTTGTACACTGCAATTAATTAGCCTTCAGGCATTAATTTTCAACATAAACTCTTTTAGAAATTATACTTTAAAATTTTGACCCTTTGAGCCATCATATTAGCTAGGTGTTTGACAAGTCATGAGAATAATTTATTATTTATAGTGACTACTGCCACCATTACGAACTGAATTATTCAAACAGTTAAAACCGGTCTCAAATACAGCTCACGCAATGAACCAATAAAAATATGGAATGCATTGTTACTTATCAGATCTCTAAGGACCACCCACTCTATACTTATACCATATATAGAACACTGTAAATCATTGTAACATGTTATCCAAATTGCATCTCGCAAATACCATCATAAGTCAATTCCACCACACAATACCCAGCTGGTGCATGGTTGATAAGGGACAAGGCCAGCATTGATTATGTTGTGTACATGTACGTACCCTGGATCTTGATAAAAACAGATGAAAAATTCTTTCAGTACAGCTGGAAATGAATATACAATCACTAAATCACTTTTGAGGACAGTTTATACAGGTTCATTGTACTGGGGAAATTTCCCTAGCTCTTTTCAACAAGTACAATGAACAGTGGACCATGGCTTAATGTCCCACCTAAGAACTGCAACCTTTCCAGACATAGCATGCATGTTGGGTGAGTGACAACAGACAGGATTCCAAGTCCCAACCTCGTGGTCCAGAGGCAGGGTCGCTAACCACAGGACTCAACACGCTGCAAATATAGTTGAATTCCCCTACCTTGGACTGTTGCATCCTCTGTATGTTCTTGTAGAGCCTGTCTTTACGTGTCAGCTCGTAAGACCTGGGGAAGTGGTTGATCTTCTGAAACTCGTGCATGCAGCGGAGGGAGAAAGGCTTGAGATGACTACCTGTCCACATCAGGTTAAAGTCATTGCTGTTTGGGTGGACCTTCAAGTACACAAGGAAAGAACAGGTGTCAGTGCAGTGCAGGAAAACTACAGCAACCAAACAATATCAGACAATATCTGTGATGTTGTCTTCTTAATAAAGAAGAACGATGCACTTTCTAGCATTCCTTTGTGCAACTTTGCTCCAACTTCCACCAGCAGATGGTTTTCTACAGATGAACTTAATTTTTCCCAATTACACAATTCCTCTTCTACTCATTATCATATTACCATCACCCATAACTACACGAACAGCAGCTTATTTTTTGTTTAAAAGAAAAGTATGATTCTATAAATAGAAGCCACTTACCTCATGGAAGCCGTGAGATGCCAGGATGGACCTGACCAGCTTACTCTCAGTTCTCACCATCTTGTAGGACAGGTGGTACTTCTCTGTACATGCACACAACAAAGGGGAGGGAACATGAGAGGGAAGCATTCAACACCACATTCAAGGACCTGTGGCACTAGAAATGTTACCCTGACATTTGATACCACTATATGTTTACCAAAGTGTATGGAAAAATATTGAGAATGTTGTAATAATCCTGGTGACACATGTTTACACTCAGATTATTTCTACTCTGAAAGCTACCAAGAATTTCACACAATCATATTGTTACATTGGTAAAACATTGTGTCAATAGATAGTCAGAGACCGTTGTGTGATGCTTAATTTCGTACCTCCAACCATCTTCAGTTCCTTGTTCTTGACAAACATGTTCTCTGCCTTGAAGATGAGGATTGGAACACGCTTCCCAGGACCAGTCCATGATATAAACTTGCAGTTTCTAGAGGGAACAATAAAAGCATGTGTGACAATCTGCTAGAGATTTACATACACTGTACAAGTACATGGGTGAAAGGACTGGTCTTCCCATTCTACTAACCATTTAAAATTAATAATACCTGTAAGCTGACAATGTCAGCCCTACTTAAATGTGATAGGTAAATGTGCTCTAATCAAACAAGAATTATGTTACCCCACTTTTTTACATGGCATTTGAGTTCACCACCATGAAATTGTTCCACAGTATGTGCCCTTTGCTTGGTGAAAGGTCACTAACTCACTCACTGTTCCCATGGTCTATTAGAAAGAGTTAAAAGCTTTTTAATCAAGTATGTCCGTGTGCCAAGGGATTGGGGTGTATTTACATTCATAGTAATCATACTATAGAGTCATAGAAATCTGCAGTGTACACATCCTGGGATTTCTTCAAATGTGGTGCAAGAAAAAATGCAGACTGTAGAGTGCACAGTTTTTCCTTTCCTTAAGCTCGCTAGTATCATTTCAGCCAGACGGCAACTAATTAAGCACCATGGAAGCATGTTGGCAACAGTCATTGTGTGTCACGCCAATAGTGGCAATAGAGATTGCGTTGGCAAGGTTTCTAATCCCAATACAAACGTCCTAACCGTAAACTTCTTTTGTACATAGAAGTTGTCAATGTTTCCACAGAATGAAGTCTAACTCTAGGTCTTCATATTCATAAAAGTCACTTGACAATTGTGTTCTCGAAACAGCAACAACAAAATTGTATAACTCATGATTGTATACTAGTAATGCAAAAACCTCATCTCTTCTGTTGCTGACAGGTAAACAATTTAACACTTTTAAAGTTGTAATTACAAGTCATTCTAGATACATGTACGTAATACTTGAAAGATAACACTGTTCCCCTGCACACTGCATGTATCTTTCCATGTCAATTATTGCTTCCTTGTGTCAATTATTGCTTCCTTGTGGATCCTGTTCTATGAAATCAACTACATAAACATAAACAACCATGGTTAACATAGCCTTTCATATGTTGACAAAACAGAATGATGTACACCTTACCTCAGATTTATATTGACAAGTACTGGCAAAGCTTTGTCATGTTTCTTCTGATCCTTGCCTGGCCCTTGCCAGTACCAACCTTGCAGTTTACACATAGCAGTGTCACTTTGTGTGGTACACATGGGTAGGTTTTACAACAAACTACCACCAAACTCTTACAGTTCTGATGCTGAAGCTTTAATACTTGTTGCCACAGCCTGACTGCTACACTCTAGCCTCAAATCTAAATCTGATCTGGTTACATGCTACTGTGAGTACTTTAAGTGGCCAAAGTCTAAAGAGATTATGGATGCTCAACCAATCACCGACTTACCCTAAACCACTCAAACTGACATGGAAAAAATATGAGCTGCTATTAAGGCTGGGTCAAAGCACTTTAAACAGGGCATGCATGCTCAGACCTCGTCTTAAGGACAAGGGATTGTCAAGAGTGCTTCTGCTAATTACACCACAAAAGCCTGTCATATCAAGTGGACACGTTGGTGACCGTACATGTACATTGTACTGCAGGTGTAGCTGAAAATAGTTACTAGTAACTTTTTCATCTCTGGTGTTTTTTGTACATTTCAAGTAACCATGGATATCAGTCCATATTTTCTGTAACCATTGTGTGATTTGCATGACAATAGACAATGCTTATACAGCTATGTACCTATTCTATCTTAAGCCTGACAACACTAAGTTATTAATTACACTAGTAACAGCAACTTAAAGAAATGGCCTCAACAAGATAGAAGCATTATACACTGTTGTCACTGTATCATGAACTGTTTTTAAGTTAACAACTTAGAAGGGTTTTTTAAAAACAGGGCTGAGCACAAGATTATATTATATCATGGCCAAATTATACATCCTTTACCACATACAAACTAGGCATCTGACTTTTTACACTACATTCCCCTGATTGGTGTTTTATCTACCTCCATGGTAGCACACATAGAATTTACTGCCATTGATAGGTTCCTGAGGAAGCACGTCTGCGTGATTGAAAAACTTGTGATCAAACACGCTGCACAGAAAGCCATTACCCCTGTATCCCCGGCACAAGTCCTACTAAATCTGATATCCTACACACGGATTGAGCAAGTATTGATTTTTTGTCAACCTCGACCTGAAATTCCATTACATGGACCTACTCCGGAATCACCTCCTCTCCATGTGGGGTATAATAGAGATGGAGGATTAATCGCCAGACAAACCTGCACCTGCTCTACTCTTCCTGGGGAGGCTATTTTAACACCTACAACTTACAAGTATATAATCATAGATAATTTTCCTACTAATACGTACAATATATGCTACATGTATGTCAAAATGATGTCTAGTGCTATAATATTGGTAGTCCCAGGACTCTATAGTGTAGCATACAGTATATTGTAATCCTGCATGGATGCAACCAAAAAAAAAAAGCCACCTTGTACAGCTTGCCAACATGAAACTATCCCCTTTGACTTTTTCTATATTTAATAATATAATAGATGGAACTCTTGGTTTACTTTTTTTGGTCTCTTATTTATTCACGACAATCAAAAAGACAAATTTCTGACAAACTCTGAGCAAAAATCTTTGCCACATTTTGAGAACTATGAAGACAAAATAAATTCATGGGGGCACTGCAAATCAACACAGTTATATACAACACACACAAGTACATTTCTTATCTGCAAAAACATTTTGGCTTCTACCAACCACTGGCATATATCATGTGTCTTGCTTCACTGCTATACAGTACGCTAACTAATTTGGTAAAGCACAGGCTGCACAGCCATAATGACACTTACTCTACCTAAATTTAATTAAACATCCCAAACACACTGAGGCTGATTATATCTTATTCCCAACATACCTAAAAATATACAATAGGATGACGGATAGGGGATTAAGGGCCACCAATCACATCTAATCATTCTCGTGATGTTAATTGCTGTAGATAATAAATGTATGTCTATAGCAGAAGAATCCAGTTACCCTCCAGTTAATGTAGCATTGATTCTGTTCTTACAGTGATGAATGTGGAGATAACCTGTACTTCCTGGGGGCCCAGGCTGCAGAGACTGCTGATGTAATTTTAATGGTTTATGTGATTTGGGTTTCCCTCAATGCATGAGGTGATTTCTCTTGCAGTTCCTGTTATCTTTACCGCTGCAGACTATACGTTTGAAGGTCGATATCATCCTGGCACAAATCTGAGGCCCCTTGGGGCTGTTCGTGAGAAAGAATGAGTAGGGTATTACCATTAGGAGAAGGGCATCAACTTAAAATACTAGTATGCTCTAAAAATCTATACAACTAATTCCCAGGCAAAGTTTTACTGCTTTGGTTTTACTGGTAACTATATGAATTAGATGACAAGCCAAATCCAAGGCTATTTGTGGTATGACAAATTTTTCTTTTGATTTCATTATCTGACTGTGTTATTTCACCGTTACTCAAAAAAATGATAATGCAACAAGGCAAATGATATACTAGTCAAGGGCTGTAAATGATCAACATGCCTTTCATCTTTATATGGCTAGACGTATTATTAGAAAAAAGTCCCCATGAACTATCTTGTCCCCAGAGTTTTCCTCAATTTTGTGTGAACCTGTCAGCTGTGAAGTTTAGCAGTATGACATTGTAAGCTTCACACAGCCATGGGCACCACTTTACTCATTACATCTGTGGGGAAGTGTCTGTGTCCCTGTGTGACCTCGCAGTATACTTCAGATACAAGATTGGTACATGTACCTACTACTACACTTAAAGAAGTAAAGGTCGAGTGATTACAAATCTGCCCATAGGCAAGTGTCAACTGAAGCAAGTAATGTATATTTTGTTCCTCACCAGTGTCAGCTTCTAGAAAAATTTGTTTAAAGGAAACTCTGCTTTTGGTGACATATAACAGTGGTACATACATGTAGAACCATGATAGTGAGGATAACAGTTACATACATTTTAGTTTTAACAAAAATTCAACAAAAGCAAGCCAATGACAGGTCAGGTGCCTAAACATTAACAAAAGGCAATACATGGATGCTGGCAATAGATAGATGAGAAATAAGTTCGTTGTCCCTCTAGAACAAATCACCATTATTCATGGTAGATTGGGAGGAACAGTTAACCTGATTTAGTGACGTCTATCTACCAGAAATAGATTGAGGCCATACAAATCAATGCAGTGACTGCTTTAAATGCATGAAAAATGTATGGTAACTGAGGCTGTGGTGCCCGCAGCATGGTAATGCACAGGAGACTGCTTCAGAACCACTGATGCAGATAACACCTTCATACATCATCTAGTCTCCATTCAGACATAATATGTACCGTGCAAATATGTTTTAATTCAAGAGTCTTATTATGTAACAAAATACGAGTTTACATGTATGCTGAAATGAGATGTGTACATTGAGAATATTTCATAATTTATAAATACTAGTAATGCATACTGATACTACCCTAAAATATGGACAGTTAATATTCGAGATCAGTTTGCTACAATCTGGACTATGAGTATGAGGACAGAATTAATATATTGTCCTTCATTGCATTTTGTCTGTGTTTTGTGAACCATGACAGTGATGTCTATTAATATATATTATTAGTATTAAACCGCCTTGATAAAAGTACAAACCAAAGATGTCTAGTTATATCATAGCTAGACATTGGTATACTTTAATCAAAATATGTATTCACTACATATTCCAATTAACTAGACATTGCTATAATACTTTTATCAAAATATACATCCAAGACAAGCCAATTCAAGCAAACAATGCTATTAAACTTAAGTGTCAATAAACCGCATAACAGATATCATATGCATGTTGTAACAAACAACTTTCATCCCCAAAACATAATGACTGTACAGACAATACCAGTTAACAACAGTAACAAAAGAACAAACTGAAACATGTGAAATGTAGCTGACACCTATTTAATATACTTACACGTTCATCAACTCCTTGTGCTTATTGTCTTCTGACTCGGCTTCCGACCCCACCTCCTCGGAGTCAGAGGCCACCTTTTTGGTAGGCATCGTTGGTGTAAAGCTTTCCTGATCCTCTTACAATGGCAACGCTATTCAGGGCTCAACTAGGATTTGTGCTGGCATAGACATGTGACCTATGGCAGCATAATCATCGGACTCCTCTCGTACGCTGTTCTCTGCAGGGGAGAAAATCGTGCAGCGTCACTCGATCCTGACCTTAATCAGGCAACAGTGCATTTATCTTTAACACAGCCACTAGTGAACTCAATATAGTACATTGAATTACCAGTAGTGTCCTCAGTCTGATTCTGTTTTTGGAGGAATCGATACAGTAACATTATCTACATCTGTCTCATTACTCAGCGACCACTACACCTAACATTTGAAAATATATTATTCAAAACAAAATGCATGGTATTTGTTGAACTCATTTGGTTGACATATGCTGTCCATACAATATGATTTATTGATGAGAAAATTTATTTTAAGTTTAAACGTTTAGATCATTCATACGGAAGCAACACTGGAACTACCTGGCGTTTGTGGAAAGTATGAACTTTCAACAGTCATGTATCATGCCAATACATGAATACGAGTAACTTGTCAAAATCATAGGTGTACGTACGCTGCTATGGCTATGCAGGAAAAACACCCTCCCCCGACAAACTACCCCAACAAAACCAAAAGAAGCGGGCTAAATGCACCGTAGTCGAACAACGTCGAAAACTCACCTTTCTTTGCTCAGTAGTCAACCCTGTCTTGAAGATTCCAAACTCTTGCCACATTTGGCACCCATTTGGGTTAGATTTGTTGCATATTTAAGGTACAAAGTGTCGGAATTCGAATATTTGTACAGCTCATGACCTGCCCCAAACGTTGCCTTTGGAAACTGTACCCGTGATCCGGACGTTCACCGCATCAAACAAAATTGGAGTACTTTTGGAAAGAAACATCGTAGTTTTCCGTCAGAAAAGTGTATTAAAAAATGCAACATATCTATAAACTCACATAGTATCTGACTTAATGTACGATTTTCTGCATTACTATTAATTTGGGTAGTAAGTGATTAAAACCTGCCAAAATATTTATGTCGTTTTGTTGCTCTCATTGTCCCGAAATGTATGTTATCGTGTTGCATCACGGGATCTCAAAGATGGCGGCCGCCACGAAAGTTTTGAACTTGCAGAAAAACATTGTGTGTCAAACTGGCAAACACACTGCGTCTGTCATCTTTCTACATGGCTCAGGTGAGTAATGTGAAGCTACAGCCTTCGTGTATTTATTTTGTGTGCAACGTGACTTTCCTGATGTCTGCTCAAAGTCAAAGTTAAGAAGAACTCGAAAGTGAAAGTGTTTTCCTCCATATAATAATTTTCTAGTAGCACAAGCCCTCCCACGACCGACTTCCCCTTTCAAAATATGTGATAACTTTCGCAAGCATTAATATTTACAGTATACTGGACAAGCCCTATTCAATAGGTATGACGTCCTGCCACTTCCAAGGACTAATCGTCCTCAATATTAGACACCCACTGCTGAAGAGATTTCTGAACGCTCCACACAAAAAAAAGCAATGGCAGCATTTTTATTTGTCCATAATTTATGACCAGCTGATTCACCCCTATATGACATCATTACCTCTGTGTCCAGAGATTTTGTTTTAAGTAAAGTTGTAACTTGCATGCGCAGTTGCAGGACAAGAATTTGAGGAAGTAGAGGTGATAGAATAACTCTACTTCCTCAATTATCAATAATAATCTTATTCAATCAATAATGAATTTGGACACTAACGTTAATTATTTCTAGGACAAGGTAAGAGACTGTGTTTTCACAGCTACATATTTTCCATGAGCTAATCATGTCATGAAACTGGACGTGATGCCCCATGAGGGCCTTGTTCAGTATTCTATAGATGTAGCTAAGATGTAGATAGCCGCGGCGACTGTTGCAGGGCTTCTCTTGCTTGCAGTCTTAATATAAAGACTGCAAGCAAGAGAAGCCCTGCAACAGTCGCCGCGGCTAAGATGTAGGTAGATGGTCGCCTCTGAGTGACAGGAAGTGATCAATGGACAGATGTAATTTTAGTCAAAACATTATTTGCATAATTAATGAAGTACATGTAGCATTACAATTAAACAAGACATATGAGAAACTGTAAATATTTAATGCATGTATAATTTCACCAGAATCTAGTTTATCATGTACTGATTCTCCACTACAATGTATTAGTGTTAGACTGGTAAGAACTGGTATCTATACTTAAAATAAGTAATGTATGACTTCTTCCCAGGTGATACAGGAGAGGGTGTGAGCTCTTGGATACAGGATCTGATGGGGAATGGGATGGTATTCTCCCACATCAGAACAGTGTTCCCTACAGCTCCACCAAGGTTGGATTGTAATCTTTTTGCTCTATCATATACACAGTGCATGTAGGCGGGGGTTACATTCATTCTAAAAATAGAAAAATTCACTATATGCATACATATACCAGAAAGATAGCAGGCTTTTTGTATGATGTCACTTTCACCATGTTGGATTGCAGCCTGTAATATATTTATGTCTGATCATAGATACATCAACATGATGCTGCTGTAGTCCACTTACCTGCCAATAGCTTTTGGGTATTCAAATTATAATTATTACAACTGTGAACATCAATGAAAAGCCTATACATGTATATTTGATATTCATCATTAAATTTGCCATACATGTGTATTTGATATATGATGATATTTACCTGGATATTGACAGTTTAAGTTTGTCATACTTGCTGCTGACAGCTCGCTCGTTATAGCCACATTTTCTATTCCACCCCACAGCTGCTTATGAGGTGCATGTACAACCTGATGACATATGGGCAGGTTTTATACATGTCTGCTGGGAGTCATGTTTCCTGAAGGATGGTACTAGTGGAAAGAATATCAATCAAGAATAGAGATCCGCATAGGGCATTTTTGATCCCTAAGAAGCAATGTCGATAACCAATTTATCAAAGCACTGAGATAGATTTCTCCCAGGAATAGTTGTGGTTTTATGTTTTGCCATCTGTTCCTACTAGTAAGTACATGTACTGAAAGTATGGACTCCAAATGGATTTATATTTTGCTGGTGGCATGTTATGTTCCTGGCTAAATATTTTATGTGAAAATAAATTTGTATTGAGTGATTGGAACACGTACCCTTTCAAAGCAATTGCTTACCAACCTGTCAATGTGAGATACCTGATCAAAATGTAATACTAGTGGAGGAACTATTCCATCTTTTGGTACTAATCATTGATATTGATAATAATTGGTACATGGAGTATTGAATGCCTTTTTTCCTTTTCTTTCTTGTAACAGACCATACACTCCAATGATGGGGCACAAGTCGACAGTCTGGTTTGACAGACACAGGATCTCACCAGATGTCCCTGACCACATGGAGTCTGTGGACTATATGTGTGAACACCTCAACAGGCTGATAGAAGAGGAGGTCAAGTCTGGAATCCCAAGGGAAAGAATACTTTTAGGTACAGCAAACATGTGCTTTTCCTTTGCAATGATGTCGGCTCACATTACATGATGGATAAACATATGAAGTCACATTTATATTCCTCCACAGGTATATATGATTATCAGATAATATTTTGTATACAGTTACTTAACTTAATGTAATATATCAAGAAAAGAAAGCCTCAGTCAAGTCAATGAGGTTTAGCTCCTTTGTCAAATTGTAACTATATTGAGAAATGGATGAAACACTTTCCCTTTAGAACAAACAGAGCTGAGGTACAGGGTATGGTTGACATATTAGTTAAACCATGTTTATAGATGAAGAATGATAATACATTTCAATGTATTCTATATTGGAAGGTATGTTCCATCTAGGCATACAGCAATTACATTTACATGTAGTAGTTACAAATTGAAGAATCAACACAGTATGAGACAAAAATGTACAATAGATGATCCTGGGATTGTATTGTTTAATCCGTACAGGTGGTTTCTCTATGGGTGGTGCCATGGCCATGCAGGTGGCTTACAGACATCACCCTTCTGTGGCTGGAGTAGCTGCTTTGTCAGCTTTCCTCAACAATGACTCTGTAGTCTATAAGGTACCACTCTACTTAACATTAAGTTGGCATGTCTAAGCAAAGATGACTTTATGTTTGATTTACTGAATTCCACTTTCTCATTTCACTATGTTATTGTAATTGGTTGATACAATGTGCTGTGAGAGGATAAGACAAATTACCCCACCTAGCAGGTCACACAAAAAGTGCAGCACTCATTAATTTTTGCCTCTGACAACTTTGTTTGATGCAGGCTGTAAGAGAAGCCAATGGTTCCTTACCAGAGCTGTTTTTGTGCCAGGGAGGAAAGGATCCCCTAGTTGTGCCGGAGTGGGTTAAGCAGACGCATCGCACAATGGACAGTTTGGGAGTACCATGCCAGTTTCACTTCTTTCCCCAAATGTACCATGAAATGTGTGCTCAAGAACTCGAACTGTTAAGGACATGGATCCTAAAGAAGCTGCCTTCGTGATGCATTAATAGAGACTTGACATATTTAATCTTAAGTTATCACTATGTGATATCAAAAATCTCATTGAGAATACTGCATCTAGTGTTAATTTTAAAGTATAAATGAGTGTATAACAAAATGTATGCATTATGGTAACAAATGTGTAATATTATTATATCTTATAACTTATCCTGCAATAATAAGACAATAAATTGCTAACAGTGATGTATTGTCACTGTATACTTGATATAAAAGTGGATGTGTCTTAAGTTCTGTTTAAGAAAAGAGAATGAAATACTAGCACTTGATTTCAGACTCAATAGCTACTTACATGTACTTAACTAACAGATTTGCATGTTAATGGTGATGTAAATGACAAATGTTGGGTAACAAAATTATGGACCAAGCTTAGGCCACACCAATTTAATTTCTTGGTTAACGGATTCGCCGCTTCATTTTTTTCTGATTTGCAAATAAAAATAAAAATTCAGAATCAACTGCAAGATGCTCATATTTTGCCCTGAACAGTTGAAAACAGTCCTTTTCTTGCTACTTGTTACAGTCATCCCATATTTCAATGCAGTGGTATCATTAAAAGTTCATTGTTTAAATTTTGAACCAGCCTAGTGTGTTGACTTCATGTCTCCTATTGTAACCATTTTGGACAATAATAGGATGCCTAGGCCTGTTTTTATTTCTATCTATTTTTCGCCCGCCCGCTCCATTATTTTTCTAGAAAAATCCGTTAACCAAGAAATTAAATTGTTGTGGCCTTAGGTCTCCAAATCCCAGGACAGATGCCATCCTTGTATAAACATGACGTGAATGGTAACTTATCTAATTTCTCGCTGTTTAGTCTCATTAATGGTCACATGAGACTTATCTGTATAATGTTTATATAATTTTTTGTGAGTAAGAAGCCTGTGCTTATACAATCTCTTCCTGGCTGGCCACCTTCTCAGGGAGGCAGCAACTGTCGGGCGGCCAGATATGTGAGTGAGCTGTTATCTCATTTTTTGTCCCATTTCTTCTGGAATTTTTTCATCCATTTAACGTCCCATGATAACACAATATCTTCAAGGGTTAGGTGTAGGGCTGCGGACCGGTACACTGTACCGGTCCAATACCGTAAAAATCGTTTCGGTACAGGTCCAAAATACCGGATCATGAAGTAACGAGTATATACCGAAATAGCTAGTTTACACCATGTATATGACTAAAGATAGGTAAATCCTACCACAAAGACGAAAAATTAGCACTGGAAAAGACGTAAACACCGTCGATTGATTTGAGATCCTCAGTCTCACGAGACATCGCGAGAGTGTGGCTGATCCAGGGTTGTGATTGGTCAACAAACTCAAATCAGGTCAGAGGTCAGTCATTTTCCCTTCCCTCCAACACTTTATTATTGTTTCTGTGTCATGATTGAAAAAGTGAAGAACACGTGTTAATTTGTCAAATTGTTCAGGTACAGGTACAGGTCCGGACCTGTACCTAAACCTCTGTACCAGTACCTGTACCTGTACCTGATGTTACGTTTAGGTACGCAGCCCTAGTTAGGTGTAACAAGTCGATCGGTGTAATATAGCCAGCTGCCGCCGTGCCGCGTGCCTGCGAAGCTGGTGTGTTACGCTGAAAGGCAGTTATACCGGCTATACCGATACAGATACAGATATCTGGTTTCTGGACTGGCAATGACATTTAAAGGTGTCATGATTTCTGCCAACGTGTTTTGGCAACACTAGTAGATATTCTGGTATACAAGTGCTAATGCTGCTTGTCAGCTTACTTGATAAGTGACACTTGGATCAGTTTCACAATCATTTTGACAAAGGCTCAGCAGCCATTTATCTAACACGCTTGATAGCAATAAATCATCCAATACTGCATATATCGTTATGAACTAAAATCAGGGACACAGGTGCAATGTTGCCTTATATGTATCACAAGTTCAATGCAACACCCCCTTCTGCAGAGTGGACTGTTCCACAGGTGACCCGTGGCCTTGTGGGTACAATATTTACAAAAGATGGCGGCTGTGGAGTTTTCGCACGTGAGTTGTTCAGGTGCTGTCTGCTCCTGTTTTCTCCTGGCCGTGGCGTACGTCGGCAGCCTGTACGCCTGGAGGAGCGACCTGCCGAGGTAAGGCTTCAGGGGGAGAGAAGAATAGGTAGTTGTGAGGCTGTCCGCTGTGCGAATATAATATATATTTGAGGGAGATTTATCACGATCAATGATCATCAGAGACATGAATCCGGACCCGGCAGCTCGTCTGTCGTCTGATACTTGTGCTTGCCGGTGCGTGAGCCGAGACTGTGCTGGCACGGCGGTCTTGTTACACCCCAGACTGGCCGTCTGCATAAGAGAAGCTGGATCTACAGAGAAGGAATCAGACTGAAGGCAATATGATAATCAACCTTGCAGGTCAAAATTTCATATTTACTCAGCTCCAGATCCTTGTTATGGTTTTATGGCAGTTTTTTTTCAAATGATGTATTAAGGCTGGATCAAACTGCGGAACATATTGTGTGAGATTATTCAAGAACAATTTCCAATTTGGTCGATATTTTCTATATCTAGTTCACAAATGGTATCTTAGCAACCATGAACAACAACTGGGGAATTTCGTCTGTGTCAAAATAGAGTTATACACATACCATCATAACTAATCTCAAAGCAGATGTTGGCTTTCGCGTTTTGTTGAAGTGTTTGTTTCTAGCGCTACTTCAGAATACAGGCAACTTCCACATGTCACAGCCTTCAAGTGGTAGGAGAAAAGCAGGTGACAGCTGGGTGATATGCCTACCATGGCATATATTA